TCCAGTTCTAACTTTTGTTAAGTCTCCTGTTTTGAAACTTACTAAATGTCTTTTCCTCTTAAAGATTAAGGGTGTCAGCAGTTCTTCCAAAGAGTACTATAGTCTTCAACTTAGATCAGTGCCAATGTCCCATCAACCCAATGTCGGAAGGTCTTATGACAAATTTTTGCTTTTAAACATTATCAGTGTTTTTCTCTACCTACCTACTGTGAAAAATATTCTAATCATAAGTAAGCCATTATAAAGTGCACACTTAAATTTCCTCAGTGAGCACCTGCAACTCCTCTGTACCTGAGCATCAGCATCACACATAGAATACAATGTATAGATCCAAGGCCAATCTGACCATCTGCCACATTCAGCTGATCTTGCCAAAAAGTACAAAATAACAACAGCAAAATCAAACAACCTCACATATTTCAGTAGTCTTCTCTTCTTTATACAGCACACCACCATATCTCTTTCCATTTATTTACTCCTACTTTTATATTCTATACAATCCTTGTGTAATTTAGAATCCATATCTTGTTTTGTTACTTATTTTAGCATGTCCACATTTTATATTTCACTTGATTGTAAATTTTCTGGGCTAAATGTTCATGCAACCACTTTATGGGATCCTAGCTTTCTCTCCAGGTACATCCAAACATGACCATATAATTCTTCTCATAATTCAAGGTTATATTTATCTTCCCTTTAAAGATGAGAACATAGAACACAATCATAAAACCAATTTGTGAATAGTGAGTATTATTCTAAACAGTGAAAATACCAATATTGTGCTTTTTTTTTTATTGATTTGGCTTTAAGAATGTTGTAATTTAATATACTGGTTCATTGAATCTCTCTTAAAACAAGCTTAAACATTTACAGGACTTGAAGCAAAAAAATCCAAAAAAAGTCTTGGTAACTATTCAGTATTTGAAATAATTAAGTTGTTAAAAATAACCTCAGGTTTCACATATAATAACTCGATGGATATATGGCAAAGAGAGGGCCCTACTCTTCATTTTAAATGGGTTGGGGGAAGAAGTATGGTTAGTTCAAAGGACAGAGGTTCTATATTATACCTCTTAATTTTATCAATCACAAATTGAGAACCAGACATATTGCATGGCTATCCATAGAAGCATCGTCTTTGATAGGGCCCTACTTCAGCAAGACATGATCTAATCAGCATGACTGATATTGCATAATCAACAGTGATATCTTTCTGATGCAATAAAGCTCAGCTGAGAGAGTTTCCTATGCTGGGACTAAAGATTGAAGATAAGATAGACTGTTAAGGTAACTACATTAATCTTTTCTACTGAACTCATTTTGTTATAAAGCTTGCTATTATAAGGGCTCAATTTACTTAGGTCATATAAATGGGATAAAGAGAATGTAGAGTCACTGCATGTCCATTTGTATGCCCATCATTTTTTTTTAAATTAATAGGGTAGAGAAAAGTGCCTGAATCCTAAGTGTATAGCTCAAAAAATTTTTAAGAACTGGATCCATCAGTAAAACTTATATCAAGAAATAGAAGATTGAAAGTACTGTAGAGTTCCCTTTCTGCCCCACTTCCAACAACTACTGTCAAGGGTTATTACTATCATGATTTCTGACACAATGGATTTATTTTGTCTGTTTTTATACTTTGTACAAATATACATATGGTATATTACATAACTATATTGTACTTTACATTAAAACTTTATAAATATTTATTGTCTTAACTCTTTTGCTCTACCATTAAGTTTCTATGACCCAGGCCTAGTGTTGCATGTATCTGTAGATTGCTCATTCCCATTGATAAGTGATATTCTCATATGTGACTATATCCCAATTTATTTATCTATTCTACAATTTATGGGCATTTGGATAGTCTCCAGATTGGAGTTGTTACAAATAATAACTCTGCTATAAACATTCTAGTTTATTATTTTAAAAAATATATAAATGTTGCTGATGGCAGGTTGTGTTTCCTTGATTTTTATTATTCTAGATAACATAAACATTTTAATAATATAGAATTTTTACAGTCTATGAACGTGGGATGTCTTTTCATTTGTGTTCTCTTTAATTTATTTCTTTCATTAATGTTTTATAGTTTTTACTGTTGAGATCTTTCACCTCCTTGGTTGTGTTTATTTCTAGGGTTTTATTTTTTATAGCCAGTATAAATATAATTGATTTCTTGAATTTTTTCAGATAGTTCACTATTGGTGTATAGAAATACTACTGACTGTTGTATGTTAATTTTGTATCCTGCAACTTTACTAAATTTATTTATTAGTTCCAACAATTTATTGTGAGTATTTAAGGTTTTCTGTATATATAATTATGTAGTCAGTAAACAGGGACTAATTGACTTTTTCTTTTTCAATTTGAATGCCATTTATTTCTTTCTCTTACCTAATTGTGCTGGCTGAAACTTCCAGTAAAATCTTGAATAAAAGGAGTAAAATTAGACATCCTTGTCTTGTTCCAGATCTTAGAAGAAAAGCTTTCAACTTTTTCTTGTTCAATACCTTAGCTGCAGATTTGTCACATATGGCCTGTATTATGTTGAGGTATATTCCTTCTATACCCAGTTTGTTGAAAGTTTTTATCATTAAGAAATATTGAATTGCACAGGATGCTTTTTCAGCATCTATTTAAAAGATTACGATTATTTTGTTCGTAATTCTGTTAATGTGATATATCATGTTTACTGATTTGCATATGTTGAACCATCCTTATATCTCTGAGATCGTGGCAAATGATTTTTCTAATGTGTTGTTGAATTTGGCTTGCTAATGTTTTATTGAGGATTTTTCCATCTATGTTCATCATCTTGGCCTGCATTTCTTTTTTTGTTGTGTTTTTGTCTAGTTTTGCTATCAGGATAATGCTGGCTTTGTAGAATGAGTTTGGAAAGTATTCTCTTCTTTTTGATTTTTTGGAAGAGTATGAGTAGATTTGGTATTACTTTGTCTTTAAAAAGTTGGTAGAATTCAGCAATGAAGCCATTGAGTTTCATCTTTTCTTTGATGGGAGACTTTATTACTGCTTAGATCTTGTTACTCCTTATTATTATTCTGTTTGGGTTTTCTATTTCTTCATGAATCAATCTTGACAAGTTGTATGTGTCCAGAAATTTATCAGTTTCCTCTAGGTTTTCCAGTTTGTTGGCATATAGTTATTCAACTCAAAAGAACTTCCAAACATGAAAAATACAGATAAAATTCATCTTGATCACACATCTCTCCTTCAGCTGTGCCCCATTTCTCTATTCATATTTACAACACAAATCTTAGAAAAAGTTGTCTATATTCTTTCATTTATTTCTCTTGAACCTTCTGTCACCCAAAATGAAGAATAAGATCATCAAGTTGGACTCACAGAGATCCTTCACTGTACCAAATTTTACAAATCACTTCAATGATATAAACAATGAAGGGACACAGGCACAGTGGGGTGGCTCCTAATGTCCTTCATTCTAGCATCAGATGCATTTTCTGACCCTGGTAAAAAGAAGTGGTCTCTAATATAGATAGGCAGTCACCTTACACAGCAAGGATGATTTAGGTAATGGAATAACTACATTCCATACTAAGATAAGTTCATAGTTTATGTGATACTTTCCAGAAACCCAGGCCTTATAAATCTATAGATTTTAGGTTTGCTTACCATTGTCATTAAACCAGTGATATTCTAGTGAAATAATTTAATAGATAAGAACCTTTCCCCAGTATTGTTTGTTTGTTTGCCATGAGGTTCTTATTACTGTGTTATAAGGGGAGTAATCTGAAGTTATCTCTGTTCATTCTTTACTAGAAACACCACCCAAGTAAAGTTAGACAAATAAACCACAGGCCAGCTACCTAATTCCTCTCTTCCCATACTCTAAGGTAGCATTTATTTACACCGAATTATCAAGACCATCAATGAAAGTATATATTCTATACTTTTTTTTAATTCAATGATCAGTTCTCAGTCCTCCCACTTGATATATCTGATCCTCTATTCTTTTAATATACTTTTCTTTCTTGCTTCCAGGGAATCATCTCTCTCTCTCTCTCTCTCTCTCTCTCTCTCTCTCTCTCTCTCTCTCTCTCTCCCTCTCTCTCTCCCTCTCCCTCTCCCTCTTTCTCTCCCTCTCTCCCTGTATGGTGTGTGTGTGTTTGCGTGTGCGTGTGCGTGTGCGTGTGTGTCTGTCTGTCTGTCTCTGTCCTTTTTCTTACTTCACTGGCTGCTAGTTTTTCTCTCTCTTTGCAGTTCTTTCTTATTTCCAGGTTTCTTATGATGAGAGTGGAACATAGGGAATAGTCCTTAGAATTCGTCTCTCTCATTCCTTTGTAATCTAACACAATCTCATGACTTTAAATCCCATCTGTATATTGAATACTCCAAAATCCATATCTTACCTTCTGTCCTTTCCCTTGGTCTCCAGATTCATATATGCAGCTGTCTTGTTTGATATCTCTATTTGTATGTCAATTCCCTTTTGAAACTTCACATATCCAAAATTGAATTTTTGTTCTTACTGTCAAATGTTCTCCTCCCATAGACTTCCTGTCTGAAAAAAATGGCAACTCTTCTATTAATAGTAAATCAGGATAAAACCATAGTGCTTTCTTTGCTTTTTTTCTTTCCCTTACACCCATATCCAATCTATCATGTCCTCTTGGCTCTATCATCAACATTATAAAATAGGTGTATATAACATTTACAAAGAAAGTACTTCTTCTTGACTCTACTTTCAAAAGTAGATTACACTTGAACGTTAATAAACCTTAGGTTTCATGGTTCCTTCCTAGTTTATGTTCTTCCTATTGCTCCAAGGATTCAGAAGAGAGTCATCTAACCATGTGCTTTAGGCACAGGGTATACTCTGCACTATAATGCACACTAGTAAGGGACCTGAGGCTGGGTGTTGGGAGCTGCACACTGGCAACACTGCAAAGTCCAGAACAACACTTATACCTTGGTGACCTCAAATAGTAAATAGAACCTACTACTCATTCCAAGGAGAACTATCTGAAGGCAACATGGTTCTTCTCTCTAGTAAGTGATCCTTATGACCCAGTCTTATCAAGCAGTGAGGACTGGCTCAAGGGCTACTAGTTGTAGCAATAGTGAGTGATATTGAGGAACCTCAGTAGATAATTAGACCAGGACAGACATAATGTTTGAAGCAGTGGATTTCACCAGGGGTCAAGGATGGTAGATCAAAGGGCTGGAACTTCAGAGAGTTTCCCTCTAGCAAAAAGCACAGCATGGCCAAGAACTGCAGATAGAGTTATAAAACTGCAAATTATTTTTTGAAACTGTTAAAAATAAAAGACAAATTTTGTTCAAGCATGCTTGAACAGAAGAAATTGTTTTGATTTTTGTCAACAAGAGAATTATCATCCTATTCTCTCGACCATAAAATTGTTATATGAAGAAGTGACCGAGGAAATGCGTCTAGAACCATAGGAAAAAAGCAGCATAGAGATATAACAGGAAGGTGATAATAACAATCACGCTTATAACTTTTAAATTCTAAGACTTCTATGATGACTGTGTTGTCAGATTTTTAATATTTGTAATGTCTTTACTTATTCTAAATGCTTATTCCTATGTCTGAGTTTGTAGCAATAATTTTGTGTTTTGAAGAGGACCCTACAAACCCCACATGTGTTTCTGTGCATTGCTTTCTCTCTACTCCAGATGTCCATCAGTCTCTCACATGGATTAGCCCAGGAGCCTCCAGACCTCCCTGATTTGCCCCAGTCTCTCTCCACTCAATTTACAAAAGGAGAGCCAGAGTAATCATTTTAAAATGCAATCTAAGCAGGGTGTGGTGGCTCATGCCTGTAATCCTAGCACTCTGGGAGGCCGAGGCAAGCGGATCATTTGAACTCAGGAATTGGAGACCAGCCTTGAGCAAGAGCAAGACCCTGTCTCTACTAAAAATAGAAAGAAATTAATTGGCCAACTAAAAATTTATAGAAAAATTAGCCGGGCACGGTGGCACATGCCTGTAGTCTCAGCTACTCGGGAGGCTGAGGTAGTAGGATTGCTTGAGCCCAGGAGTTTGAGGTTGCTGTGAGCTAGGTTGATGCCATGGCACTCTAGCCCTGGCAACAGAGTGAGACTTTGTCTCAAAAAAAAAAAAAATGCAATCTAGGCCAGGCCTGTCTTTTCCTTGAAACCCTTCAATCACCTCCTGTCTCACTCAAGAGTCAAGGCCAAAGCCCATATGAGTGGGCTAACTCTTGCCCTACTTAACTCTCTGACCTTAGCTGCTTTCCCCCTCCTTGCTCATTCACTTAGCTTCAGTCAGATTAATCTCTTTGCTGCTATGGGAATTTGACAATCAGTCCCCTGCTTTGAGAACTTCTCACCTGAGTTCATCCTCCTGTAAAACGTTCTCTAAGATGTTCACACAACCTTTTTCCTGACTTCCTTAAGCAATTTACACAAAAACAGCAGAGTCTCAGTGAGAACTCCCTAGTCATCCATCCCATTAAAAAACGATTCCTCAGCCTGGCACGGTGGCTCACACCTATAATCCTAGCACTCTGGGAGGCCGAGGCAGGTGGATTGCTTGAGGTCAGGAGTTCGAAACCAGCCTGAGTAAGAGCGAAACCCCTCTCTACTATAAATAGAAATAAATTAATTGGCTAACTAATATATGTATAGAAAAAATTAGGCAGGTATGTTGGCACATGCCTGTAGTCCCAGCTACTTGAGAGGCTGAGGCAGGAGGATTGCTTGAGCCCAGGAGTTTGAGGTTGCTGTGAGCTAGGTTGACGCCACGGCACTCACTCTAGCCTGGGCAACAAAGTGAGACTCTGTCTCAAAAAAAAAAAAAAATGATACCTCAACACCCACAAGGATATCTTCTCCTCTCTGCTGAATTTTTCTGCATACCATTATCATCTTCTAAACCACTATAAAGTTAACTTACTTATTTGTTCATTGCATTTTGCCTCCCATTGCTACATAAAGCAGAGGTTTTTGTCTAATTTGTTCTCTTGCTATTCTCTCTTCCAGTATTTAAACAATGCCTGGCACATATTTTACCCTCAATAAATGTTTGATGCATTTATAAATGAGTAAGTGAATAAGTGAATAAATTTATGCTTCCTGAACTCTTGCAACTTAGACCTTAGAGACAGAAACATAAAAGTTATCTACTATTATTTTGGTCCTAAGTATAATACAAAGTCTCTAAAGATTTGTGACTGGTTGAGTAACATCATGAGAGATTTATGGAAGATGACTTTGGAAATATTATGGAAGATGGCCTGTTTGGGGTAAGACTAGAGACTAATTATTTGATAGTAATGTGAAAATGATCTATCTGCACTGAAGTAATGGAAATAGATGTTATGGTTCTTGGCACATTGATCGTGAAAATTTCATGAATAATTTTCTAGGCTTCTTTTGTTGTCTTTTCTGTTTTTATCCAAATATTTCACTTTGTATGCAATTTCAAAATTGAGATCGAATAACCCAAAGAGTCAGAATCTAGTATTGGTGGGAATGGTAGCATGCCTTCAGGAAGTTTTCTTCCAGGAATTAAAATATATATATATATATATATATATATATACACACACACATATACATACACACACATATATAAATAAATAATCCATTTGCTACTAACATTTTAATCTTCTAGGGATATAACTTGTGGGTACATCACCCTACTGTGCATGACAATGGCAGATACCTTTATTCTATCCATCCATAAAATAGCAGGGCATCCTATTATATGAAATAGAAAAGAGTGGCAGTAAGAACAGTAGGTATTTTCTCATCTTTGGTCCCCAATGTTTGTAGGTGTCCTCACCCTCCAAACTAAAGATATCAAATTGCCTTTCACAAACCAAAACATACACATGAAAGGCCAGAGAAAAGGGAAAACAGATGGAAAGGGAAGAGGAGGAGGTAGAAGGAAATGAAAGGGAAGCAGGCTGCCACCTGTTTTCCAGCATGATGATCATTAAAGTTATCACATGTTATGCCAGAAGCTTTATTTTAAATACCCTTGTCTGCTACCTTCTGGGTTAAATAAATAGTTTTGAATATACATTTTGTTCAAATTACTTTTCATCACAGTCAGTGACTGTAGTTAAATTTACTGAACAGCTTTGAGTACTCCCAGAAAAATAATGAAAAGGAAGTACAAAATGTTACCCCCATCTTGTTCATTCAGGAACATTCATTGTTTCTGAATATAAAGAAGTCACATCTGGTACCTCAAGTAATGCTCCCTGATAGAGCCAACTATCATTATTCTTAAAATTACAAAGGGAGTGAATAAAAGGTTAAAATAGGAATTAATTCAATAAATTAGAACTGGCCCCAAGAGAATTTTATACTATAAGCCTAATGATTAATCTTTCAATGGAAATTTCTGGATATATAGGCCATACTTACATCAACTTAATTTCTGACAAGCATAAAGGTTAGTATATTGAGCAGTGGAAATACATATTTATCAGTGTTGATAATTGCAAAGTCCATCTATGATATAGCAAGGACTTTTTTATGTTTTTTGTTTTTAAAATTAGTGTTCATTGATTAGTAAATATTCATATGCATCATTGTTCTTACCATAACTATTATATATGTAATAATTGTTGCTGAGTACCATGCTTGGATTCTGTTTTCTCTTGATATTTTTATGTGTTTGTTGCAATGAACATATTAATAATCTAGAAGGGTTAAATTCTAACTATACTAACATTTCTGTTTCTAAATAAGTGTATTGATTTAATAAGTAACTAAGGAATTTATTACAAATTCTTAGAGTTATTGCTACTTTTCAGGATATCAATAAATATACATTTAGTTTAAAATGTATATTCTTGGATGAAAATGAACAATGCTATAAAAATATATTACCATGATATTAAGAGCTAGAATCAGCTCCACTGATATTTCTTGATAACTATACAAATTTACTTAATTCACTTGATATTAATTTCCTCAGATAAAATATGGGAATCATATTTTGGAAATTGAATATTCAGTTGCTATTAGAACACTCCCCTCCCCCTGCTCAAAGAAAGCAATTATAACATTTGGACATAATACTAAAAACAGCTATACTGGACAGTGATCAGTTGCAGGCAGACTGGTGGGGAATATACACATGGGCGGAGGGGGCTGGAACTGTACAAACATCATTTCCAGTCTTGGGATCATAGCCTGGAAACAATTAGCATGACACAAGCAGAGGGCATGCTGCTGGTGTTAGAATAACTGCAATGTTTTGACCTAGGAAACCAAAAATGTGAAGCCAGGAAAGCTATGGATACTGAAGAGAGCAGGGGAGTTCCTGGAAGGGAGAGAACCAGACAGGTGATCACCTTTTCTATTGTTGGCCTTTGAATTATGCCTACTTGGAACAGACTTAGGACAGTAAAATTTCCTGGAGTATAAAAGCCCACAAATTCGCAATTGCAAAGATATGGAATCAACCAAAGTGCTCATCAATTCATGAGTAAATTAACAAAATGTGGTATATACATACCATGGGCTACTACTCATCCATAAAAAATGATGAATTAATGCCTTTTTCAACAATTTGGTTGGAACAGTAGACAATTATCCGAAGTATATAAAGAATGAAAAAACAAACATCATATGTACTCACCACATGTACGTGTATGCACAGAGGGAAGTAAAACTCAGTGGCAATCAAGGAGGGGAGGGGTGAAAACCTATATAATCGGTATAATGAACACTATTTGGGTGACAGCACACTTATAGCCATGTATCAAGCATTATAAAAGTGCTCCATGTAACCAAAAACATTTGTACACCCTTAACATTTTGAAATTAAAAAAAATTAAAAATATTGATTCCTTAATTAGGAAGAATATATCATTCATATAAATTTAGTGTATCTTCTGTGTCATGTGATCTGTTTATGCCATCATATTTACTTTAAGTGTCCATTTATTATTATACAATTTCTAACAAACATAAAAGTGTGCAGGGTATAAATGACCATTAAAAACATTAAATGGAGTTCTGGCTTCAAGTAATCCTCTGGCCTCAGCCTCTCAAAGGGCTAGGATTACAGGCATGAGCCACCGCACCCAGCTGGTAAGTATGAAACAATATCAAAATAATTTTTTTAACATGATATTCTAAACTGAAATGTCTTTATGATTCCAGCTATGATTCCAACTATATAACATTCTGGAAAAGGCAAAACTATGGAGATAGAAAAAAGATCAGTAGTTGCTAGGGGTTTGGGATTGAGGAGGGAGGGAGGGATGAATAGGTAGAGTATGGGGGAATTGTAGAGATATAATGATAGATATATGTCACCATACATTTGTCACAGCCCATGGAATATGCAACACAGAGAGTGAACCCTAATGTGAACTATGTACTTTAGTTAATAATGTATCAAAATTGGTTCATCGATTATAACAAATATGACATTAATAGAAAGTGTTAATAATAGTGGAAATTGTATGGAGGGAGGAATATAGGGGAACTGTACTTTCCACTCAATTTTTCTGTAAAACTGAAACTACTTTAAAAAAAAATTAAATGGGCAGTAAACTATAGAACAAGGATTGAAACATTCATCTTTTCATCATGAAGCTAAAATCCTTTCTATATCATCACTATGCTTTTTGTATTGAGACTGAATTAATTAGACATACACACCAGAAATGTACATCACTATAGATATTCAAGTTTTACCAGGGAAGATTTTGCTTACATTTGTGTTTTATGCTAGAATAACTGAAAGATAATCTAATGAAGAGTGGGTTTCAATATCCTCTGCAAATTTTGGTTGTTTGTAGTATAGGTTATTCAATAACACATACATCATGATAAAAACAAAATTCCTCCTTGAAGTTAGTATAGAACTAGGTTTAATGATTAGAAAACTATGTTCAATTTTAATCTTAAAACTTTAGATCCAGTTTCTTGGCAGACTGTTGTCCTGGTCTTTGGCTTCTTGCTTGGAAAATTCACAAGCAGGGCCAATGTGACAGAGTGAGGACCTAGCAAAAATTAAATAATTTTATTGAGGATATTTTTCCATTTAAAAGCATAAACATAGATATTTGTCTTTAATATGTTTTAAATATTATTTTTATTTTTACCCTGTATGTTTCTATTTCTACCTTGGCTACCAGGAAGTTTAAAACAAATATTAACATTCAGTTTTAATCAATATATATTCTTAATGTAATGACACACAATTGTTTCACATTACCTAATATTAGATGCATTTAATATTTTTCTAATATGCTATTTAGTATTTTAAAACAATGGCATACTGTTAAAATGTGTAAAAAGTAGTTTATATAAAATAGATTTTATTTGTTTTTAATCATTTTGTTGTATTCTTAAAAATAAGCATTTTTTTTTAAAGTCAATATTACAAACTAAGCATTTGGTAGCATTATTTTTCTTAAGGTCTATTATAAATTCTAAGGACTATTAGTAGTGACAGTATGCATTGTCAGACTGTTGTGACATTATATACCAAAAATGTATAGGCACACATACACACACTGACACACACAATGTTCTTCCCACATATATGGACACACATGTAATTTTAGCCAAGTGGATCTTTGGAAGTGAAAAATATACTGTTAAATTTGGATAGCACATATAGTTAAGTACTTTCAATTACTTTATATACATGTATTATATAAGTAATACATAAGTTGCTTTTATAAACTGTAAAAATAAGAGAAAAAACAATTACCAACTATGGTCATACTGTGACTTAGGGACATTAGTTTCTGACTAAAATATGTATGAGATTCCTCTCTTTTAGGTATAGTCTGGAAATAAGGGTGTATGCATCAAGCATTGTGATATGGAATAATTTCCTTGAGCAGAGAAGTTTACACACACACACATATATATATCATATACATATTTTGATATGCATGAAGATTATTTCAAAATTAATTGATGCTCATGGGTCATTTTCCAAAATAATTAACCAGTACCTATTCATTTGTCTGCCATTGGTAAATTGATAGAGTAGATGCACCAAGAGAGAAACTACACACATACACACAACTGATTTGGATTATGTATTTACTATAAATCAGAGTGAATTAATTCTTGATTATACTCCACATGTTCTCTATATAAATTCAAATAGTTAATTTAAACATTTTTATATCATATTTGTGGGAGTAGGTATTATTTACATTCAGATTTGAAGCAAACAACTGAATAGTAAAATACTTGCATTTTTCTCTAAAATTGCACTGAACAGAATTTGATAGTTTACTAGTTATACAGAACACTTGTCATTTCACTGATAAGCACCAAAATGGTAGAAAATAGTATTCTAATGAAAAAGGGCTAGACAAGTTAGTTTTTACCTTTACAGTGATAGAAAAGTATTTGTTAGTATCTATCATCATTTCAATGTTCTTCAAGTTCAATTCATGGCTTTCTTAGATGACCAATCCTGTGAAACTGTGGCAGTGTTCTCTGATTGTAGGTAGTCATGATGTTCATGTACCTGTCTGGAAAAGTTCCAGATTGATGTATTAAACTTTCTCTTGTGTGACTTATCATAGGTTGTTCCTAATCTACTCAGGGAAATATATTATCACTGTTGATACTAATAATTTGTTTGTTAATATATATCCCATTGTTTAGAAAATATTGCTTCATGTGAAGAAGATTACTTGACAGAGTTTCCAGGTTGGTCATTTGGTTGGTGAAACTTGACTTTCTGAGTTCCCATAGCAGATACGCAGATTTGAATATGGAATGTTGTTATGTTGGTCAATTTTAATTGATGGGCATTGAAAGGTAAAACTAGCTTTATATACAGAAATTGTCATGTACTACTATATTTCAGAATTTCAAAAATTACCTTGCTAGCTCTAGAGTCTGGGCATAAGGTCAACAGGAAAATAAAAATTTCTTATCCTCTCTAAAACTCAGGGGCAAATTTGCTCTCTTTTCAAATTCATTACGTGTGAGACTGAGAAAGTCCAGGTCTCCAAGAGGAATATCCTAATCTGACCCTTGAGCTGGCATCATTACAAGACGATTGTTGTTAGAGTTCAAGTGAGGCTGGGAAAGAAAGCTGCTGCCAGCCACTGCTCTCTAGGAAGCCCAACTAAGACCATGGGAAAACAAAACCATTTCCAAAGATCACAGGCCTTGAATTAAGAGAACCCAAAGAAAAACATAGAGTGGTGTGAAAATTATGAACTGAGATGGCTTCACTGGCTTCATTTGGGTAGTGTGACTTTGTCTGAGTGGCACATTCCACCCATACAAACCAAACACCTTATTCTCCATTAACAAGTACAGTCATTTGGGTTTCTAACACAGTTGACTTTTTTCAGTTATGTGTTAACCACTCTTTAACAAAGTAGGAGGGCAGAGGAAAACTTTTCCGGTGAGAAATTCTCAGAAGATGTCAACTTTTAAGATACAATTAATAATACTAATTTTAAGTCAGACTTTTTTTTATTGATGTTGCTTTGGGCCTAAAGCAATTTGGATCCTAAAGATTTCAGTCGTTTTGTAAACGCATTCCTCTAGATTTGGCCGCAGGATCTCTGTGGGCTAGAAACTGCTAGGTGGAATTTCTAATTAAAAAAAAACAGGGCTCCCAGCAATTTAACCTCACATTCCCTCAAACGTTTACTCTCACACTTCCTCTTATAAGTGGCCCCATAGTCTCTTATTCATATTGACAGCTTGTACTTGACAGAGCCCATGAAAGAACTGACAGCTTTCCTCCAAAAGCAACATTCTCCATACTGAAGTCGCTTCAACACCTTGAAATTTACCTTTTAGACTAAAAGGTTTCATACATGGTGATAAACACAATTCACAAAGGACCGAGTTATAAAAGGATTCCTTGTGCACTTGGGTGATAGTTGCTAAAGTATTTTCTTTTGCTTTAGGGCAAAGCTGAGGAGAATTTTGACTTCATAGAACCTTCATGTATTTACACAGGTGTGAAGCTCATGTGTATTATATACACATTTCTTTGCCTCTGATTTCTCTTTGTCTCTTCCTTTCTATTTCACTCTGCCTTTGCCTGCATCCCTCTCTCATAGTCCAGCTCCATCTTTATTAAGAAAAACAGTTGTTTTAATGTTGTTGGTAAATATTCTGGGAAACACACACTGGAAACTACATTACAATTTTGGTGAATTCTCTGATTCCAGATTTCTCTTGCAAAGACGACTCACATTAAAAAGGCTCCATTATGTCTATTGGCAGGTGAGGATCCACCAAAAAAAAATTTTTTTTAACTTGTCTAGAATTTCTCACAGGTAGGTAATAAATGGAAAGTCAAAATGATATTTTATAATGCCACCTTTACAATT